GAACCCTGAGACAGAGGTTAATGGGTCTGCAGTTGCAGTAGCGTGCCACCTTCTCCAGTCAAACTGCACGGGAATAGGTCTAGAAGATATGATATCCGGGTGGCTTCTCCATATTCAGCCCTCGCATTTGCTATGACCCCTGCATGACGAACCATAGCCAAAACGCGCTACGGTGTCTGTGCTTTCTCACTGCATGAACTCCTATTGCTGAGTGCTTGCTTCGCTGCGGGATCTATGACTCGAGCGGTACACACTAGGATGTCCCAGGCGGAGAATGGAGACGGCATCCGGGTATCACCACCCTCCAACCCCGTTCTCGTTCGTTTTTGAGCGGAGAAAGTGGCATGCTAGTGGAGTTGACGACCCATTCACTTCTCAAGATGGCAAGGACCGTCCTCTCAGATGAGTGTACAGTTTGTTTTCACCTACAAAAAGGGAATCAAGAACAGTACGTACCCCAATCCCTCGTTGAGTGATGTGAGACGATTCCAAACAAGCAGGAGAGTAGACTAAATCTCGCATTTCTTCCGTGTAGAAAGTGCTGATCAAACGGCGTTTTTCCTCTATCCTAAGAAAAAGTGTTTTACACTAACCCGGCAACTTCTTTCGTACTTGCGAGAAACTTTTTCTTTCTGAGAAGATTTCTCAGTACATCCATTTGGGCAACAGCTCTCGCCATCAGCAAGCACTCCTTTTGTTATATACGAGACTGCGTCTCCTCGAGACCAATTTAGATTGGCGCTAACTCCACCCTTAGTAAAAAGAATTTTTCGAGAAGCAAAACTCTAGCTTGGTAGTTAACTTTCCAAGAAAGTTTGCAGTTATACGAAAATGATCACAAAACTAGTGACTTCCTGACAGGGATCGAACCTGGATCTCATGTTTCAAGGACAAGTATTGGCAAATAAGGTATGGCAAATACCTCGGGCTTAGGAGGCAGAGCGGTGTAGTGGATAGCATATTAGCCAAGCGCAAACGTCAATGCTTGGTTCCAGCCGTGGCTGGGTCAAGACATTTTACCCCTAAATCAGCACTGCGTCATAACGTTTAGGATTGCTTCTCATTTACCCAGTCAAATTTGATATATTGAGCGCCCTAAAAAGAGGAACGATTCTTCCCGAGTATGCAATCCTACGAACGTTAGAAGTTGGCCCGGCCTGTATTATTACCGATGTTTTGTCGAAGGATAGAACATATGAAACTCGAATATTAGATCTTCAATCAGAGGCCATCCCAAAAGCTTGATCGTGTACGACTGAATACCATCGACTAAGCGGACTCACACTTCAATAGGTCTCTACTTAGCCTGCAATACCTTTCTGTGTCGCCTTTCTGTGTCTGTCCTACCGAATCTTGACTCAAGATTCTATGTTTAGAAAAGCAGGGATATACTGTAACCCAAGTAATCGAAACTGTACCCGTTGGTTCCGTAATCGCACACAACTGGATGTACCGTAAGCCGACTCTGTCGCTTAAAGACACATAGTACGCTCACACACATTGGGGTGTATGAGACTATCAGCCCCCCAGCTGTCGATGTGTCGTGGTCCCCCCGCCCAAACATGCCCAGGAATGGAGATACAGGACCGTGAAACAATTCTCCCATGCTCTTGCGCTTTCAAATACAAGTAAAACGCAATTTCCTGATGCGGATAACATTGGAGGTGCTGCAAAATAAGAACAGAAGATGATGACGAGGGTCAGAACTTAAAAGCAACTGTGCCACTTCTGCAACATCCCTCGGAGGCCGCGTATTTCCACGAAACATGAAAATAAAACGGCATACTCGTTAGTTTGATACAAGCAAAACGCAATTTCCTGATGCGAATAAAATTTAGGTGTTGCTCATGCTTCAAAATCCATGTACAAGGAGATGAAGATGACACAGGCTAGAAATGAAGCACAACGATGTAAATGTAAATAAAACAAAAATGAAAAAATCAAGGAAAGGCAAATTAGTTGAAATCGCCTGTAAATTTCTACGATCCGGCGCCAAAAAGCCATAGAAATACTTAGAATAAACGAGTGGGACGCTTGGATTGTTTTTATTCTCATGTTTTCTGGGAATGCGGCCTCTGATGGATTCTGCGGATGCAGCCGAGTTGCTCTTGAGTTCTGGCCCTTGTCATCATCTTCTGTTCTTATTTTGTAGCACCTCCAATGTTATCCGCATCAGGGAAGTTTTACTCGTATCTTGAAGCGCAATTAAAGGACTTGGCAAAGTGCCAAGGAGCCGCACGCGACACGCGCGCTTGCAACGGATGTTATGAAGGACGGGAATCTGCGCCGCAAAAGGTGTAAGGCGGAGCATGGAGGAACTAGCGTGTTTCACGGTCCTGTATCTCCATTCCTGGGCATGTTTGGGCGGGGGGACCACGACACATCGACAGCTGGGGGCTGATAGTCTCATACACCCTCAATGTGTTTGAGCGTACCATGTGTCTTTAAGATTGAGGTGCGTTTATTAGCCGTTTACTGGGTAGAAAGCTGTCGGGTGGGGTGATGACGAGAAACAAGAGCGCACAAATTTCTTTCCCCACTCGGAGCCTGTACCGTGGTGACGGTACTGCGTAGGAGCCAACTGGGATAGACTGTGTGCACTCTCTGCCCCCAAATATTTGATTTCAAGCACAGCGTTAAGGGCGAATGTATACCCTTTGTTGTCACACATATACTCAGCAGTCTGAAGGCGTTACCATTAGCCCGTAGTAATCAGAGCAATCAGGCTTCCCCAAAAAAGTCAAGATTTCGGATTTTGGAACCAAGTTTTGCTTCAGCATTCCGCTGCGGCACACATGAAAATGAACTCCGCAAATGAGGCGAAATTTTACACTGTACGATACAGAAAAGAACTGCAGAAGGACTCACATGTAAGGCATGGTGACAAGTTGTTCTGCAAGAGCATTGAGCAAATGAACCATCTCTCTGCAGTGAAGGAACAGGCGAAGGCGGCACGCGGAGTGAAGACGACCCGAAGGCAAACCAAGTCTGAAAGTTCCACAAGTAATTCACACTGTGACCAGAATTTAAACCTCTTAGGGCTTACCCAAACGAAAGAGCTTCCCTCTGTAGTAGAGCACGATTTGTTTTCTGTGCTAGCACCTCCACGTTTTTCAATGTCCGCACAAATACTTTGAGTCTCCATCGAACGAAAGACAACAGAACAAATCCGAAGGCCACGAAAAGAATGACGACTGCGGCAGTAGCGTACAGTTCACCAGCGGCTAAGAGAGCCAAGGCGAGAGCAGCTTAAAGAGCCGAGAAAAACCGTAAGCAATCGACGATCAGAAGGTTTTGAATCGGCGAAACGCTCGCTACGATGTCCTCCTCGTCAACCTGAAACGGAAAGAGCTATTTTCTGATGATGAGTTACGTTCGTTGCTTTGATTGCTGCCCTATTAGGGTACTTTACTCTATTCAACACCTCTAACTCATCTGCGACAAGGTCGTACATTCGGTGGTGGACGTGATTCTGACCATGACCAGGTTTTTCAGCTGAGAAAATTGTTAAGAGTGATGGTCACGCCCCCAACTGAGTAATCACTCCTCACTCCGGTACTGGTTATCCTCGGAAAGGCTCCAAGGTGAAGGAAAGAAAGTGGTAAGACAATGTCACTCATGTGGTTCTATCCAGTCCTGGTAACTTTGATTGAGAGAAACAAATCAATGGCCCGCACAATCGACCATTTTCGGGCATAAAGCTCCTAAAATCGTTATCACCGAAGTCAGTTGGGGAGTGTGCGCGCTGCTTGGGTTTCGCAGCGGTGCCAGTTCTTTTCCCACTACCCATTGGATGCCCGAACCCACAACGACCGATGAAAAACGGGTTGGCGCTGCGCCAAAATCTACGCAACGCTGACACGCCCCGAGTGACATCATCGATAACGAGTGCATCTTCGCAAGAACGCAGACAGGCTCGCGGAAAGGTCCCGAGCAGGACGGCACCTCCGACCACCTGTTCCGAGGCAGACCGCCAACTTCATCCGTCTTCATTCCATATTGGTAGACCTTCAAGGATGTCCTAAAGAACTAGTTATTCGAAGGACAAACTGCCGACTCATCTCCGAGGAGGGCGAGGGCGAAGTAGGTCCGCCACCTGTAGTAGCGGTGCTAGCTTGCTCCGCTCCGAAAGTGCAGCGAAAGGGTAGCCAGTGGTACCTGGAGTGCGTGTTCATACTGCGTCCGCGCTACCTCCAAGGTGGAACACCTGCGTCGAGGTCTTGCGAAGCATGGAGAACAACAAGAAGTGAGAGGGCGCAGACAAGTAGCGCATTTGGGTACGATTAGGCGTGTGGCTGGCCGTGCGGCTGCGCAAGGCGGAAAAAGGAGTCGGCACCGGCAGTCGCCACTCTTCAGCCTCGTTTCGAGCGGAGAAAGTGAGTGAAATGCCAGATGTTTCACCTCACACATGGCAAGAAGTAGGATCCACGAGAGTGAGTGTACAATTTGCCTTTACTATAGAGAGCCCTAATCCCCGAAGAGGGGCACTTCTGTGGTATCACGGGCACGACATGCACTAATTTCACTTTTGAGCACTTCTTTTAGTCAGAGAAACCAAACGGCGGAAACTTTTTTTATAGTTCAAAAATCACCTCTTCAAGAAGCTCAGCATTTCGGCTCTCTTGCAAGATGTAGTGTGAAGCCGAGTATAGTCGAACATCTAGCATATCAAACATCTGAAGGGGAACAACGATAAACTAAATTGATCAAAGAGAATTTCCTACGAAAAACTGATTATTAATAAGGTCCTCGATAAAACACGGAGGACAGTCCTGTGGTGCAAACAAGTGGCGCAGCTATCAGACGCCTTCATTCAGGCATCGAAGTCTATACTGGCTCGCGCTCAAGTCAACCGAAAATTGGGTTCTCTCTGGTGTTCGATGATCACAGATTGTTAGTACGAAAGCGCTAATAGGCGCTAAGAAGTAGAATGAGTGAAAAGTAACGCCCTCTGAGGGGTTTCTCCCCACGACATCCTCTGAATCCTGGCGGGTTTTCCACCTATTACAGTTAGCAAGAGCCATCAGTGCCTTCAGACAAGGGCTACCTCACAAGCTGCTGTATATGTCAAAACGCTCAAGTATTACCATTTGGATGCGTAACCCGTCCCAAAAAGCGCTAATCACCGCCAAATTGT